AATAATAATAATAATAATAATAGTAAAAAAAGAATTCTTAATCCTAAATACTAACAAGCTCAAGCCATACAGCAATGCTTAAGGAACTGAAAAACATCCATCTTGTATTTGTGCTCCGAGTGCTGAACTTTATGTTGATGTTCATACTCTCCCTAATGGCTACATTGCTCAGGAACAGCTACAGACAAGCCAGTGGAGATCTGTAGAGGTGATGTCATTACTGAAAACTACCATTTACCACAAAGTTTGGAGTGAACGGTGGAAAGTTTGTACACAGGAAAAAGTGATGTCTGGAAGAGCTAAAGGACTAAGAACTGTTACAGTGAGATGAGATACCTTTTGCTATCAAGACCAAAATCACACACATGGAGTGTGGGGGAAGGAAAGAAAAGCAGTTTTGAAAGGTTGTTCATGCAAATGTGAAGCAGCCCATTAGGAAACATGATATGGTAATTTTATTGGGGCTAGTCAACATAATGCTGTTAGAGGCGCAGTATTGTTCAACCTAGACTTCCTTTTCGTGTTTAAAGGCCAGTTAAAGTAAATCCACCTATTTTGCTCTTAAATTGTTAAAGGTGAAAACCTGACAGTGTTTACATGCAGTGCATACTCATTAATGCTAATGCATTAATCAATACATTTTGCAGTACGGTTTTGCAGTATGCTTATAACTGCAATGCTGTGGGAAGAATTTATAAAATAAAATAAAATGTGAAGTCATCTTAGGGCTTCTATCAAGAAACAGCCCTGCACCATGCTGTACAAACATCAAGCTCAACCAAGGCAGCCCATGTATCTTTGCTGATGCCACTGCACAGTGTAGATGCATCAAGCGCTTAGCAGCAGGAGGACTGTGCTCAGTAGGACCCGGTCCTCTCAGAGCACCAGGGGCACTACCTGGGGTAACCATCCGTGACACCACACTCGTTCTAAATTTGTTGGGAAGATTCCGGATAGAGACCCAAATAGGATTTTGGATGCATTAGTTTCTGCAATGGCAGCCAAACCCGAACAAACTAAAAAATTAGTTTTGTAATTAGGTGCAGCAGGACCTGTTCTACAGCATCTTGTCCTTACAAGAAAGAGGATGTTCAATTAGATGCACAGCAAGTCGGAATTGGTAAATTCCTGCTTAGAAAACATCTGTCCTTTCATAGAAACACACTTACACACAAGTCCTGGGAAGCTCAGCGTATGTCTACCCAGCTGAGTGCAGACATAGATGATCCAGTTCAAGCCAGGAGTTGTACAGACTTGTTAGAACCACCCTTTGTCTGGGCTAATTTTTTTTTAAACCAGCACTTTTAAGGTCAGGCAGAGAGTCACACCAAAGTGGCTACAAATTTTCCTACCCTACAGCTGGCTTACCTTCAACCAGCTCAGGAAGAAGACACAGAAAATGTGAATCTGTCTATCTGTCTGTGTAGACATTTCCCAATAAGGTCTGGAAACTCAAGAATCTGTCCAAAGAGGATATACATGGCAATACCTCTTCTATGAGTACCTCTGAATAATCCAGCCTGGGATCAGCTAAGAAGGGTTACAGCTCCAGACTTTCACTCTGATCCTGCAAAAGCAGCAATTAGAAGTTTGAAACTAATTATCTTCAAATACCTTACATGACAATGGACTTTGTGAATAGCTCATGAATTGCTTAATTAAAGTTTTTAACAAACGTTCTGCATAGATCATTTTAGACCATTTAACCCACACCTATCATTCTTAAGAAAAACAGACTATAAATTAATTGCATTATTTATTAGATCCATGTCACATGCTTGGTTACCTTATGCTCATTCCTAGCATCTCTATAATAAAATGTATCCCTAAAAGTTTAGTTTTTGAATATAGTAATTTTGAAAGCTAACAATTACTGAAAATTTCGAGAGGTCTGGAAGGAACATAGGAACTGGTCTTTATCACCCATTTCTGAAAGACATGGAGTTGTATCTCTATTCATTTTAATATATATGCCTTCCATGTTATTCGAGGAACTGCTTGAATAGGGATAAAAAATAGCACATAAATATAAGCAATGAAACAGGCCTTTAGGCCAGTATTTGAGTGCAACAATTATATAATATTTCATAATAAGGGCTGTTCTTGAGGTAACATTGCACATTCTTACTAAACATCAGAGATAGAAAGATACATATTTCAAGCTAATATTTAGAAGCATTATCGATGTGTTACTAACCTTATTTTACATGCCTTCTGCCACTTTGCTGTAGATATGATCAGACGGGATATCATTCTCTAGTTCACTCTGAAGTGACAGTTTCACAGGGAGGTTGTGGTGTTTTGTTTTTAAGAATTGCATCAATGTAAAATGCATTTGGTCTTAAACTTATTTCTGGTTGCTGGTAAAAGCACCGATGAGTTAGTATTTGGACTAACAGGCAAAACAGAGTGGACCAACAGTTTATATGCTGCTGAAGAGACTGATTTTGACATAAAATTAAACTATGATTGTATGAGTGTTACAGGATCAGAAACAAGCATTCAGTGCATAGGCATGCCGCAGGGACTGTAATACATTTTATGGAGTTTCTTTATAGACACTTTCTAGCAGAATTGTCAGAATATACCGGCTTGAAACTGAAGCAATTAACAGTCCCTCAGTGACTCCAATGGACAGAAATGCAAAAATGGTCTTTTAAAGCATCTGGAGAAATCAGATGGAGACGACATGATCTCAGCTGTTTGTCTACTTTTCATGCCCTCAAGCTGTAAAAGGAGAACCAGGTAAAAGAAAATGTAGTTCTGTGAATCATAATCCTTTGGGTTCATGTGTTTCATTCCAAGGGGGACTGGCAGTGTAGCTACAGCAGGAAAGCTGAAAGAACGGAGTGGGAGTTACTGAAGGCAAGGACAAACATGGAAATAGTCTCCTGTCGGTCAGGCTTGGGTGCTATTTGCTTGAAGTTGTCATAAGAAAATTACAGATGACACTCAGTAGCCTGGCATTTTCAGCTTTTCCATAAAATGTTTATAAACAGAGTAAAATAATTTGCACAACAGTTTTAGAGATAAGCACTGTAATTTGAAGGGACACGGAAACCTCTGGAAATGTGCTATCATTAGCATCCTGGAAACTATGGATTTCCACTAAGGATTATTCTTCTCCACTTAGACAAAATAAGTCTGTTACCCCTTCCAGTTCTGCTCTTACATTAGCACAGTACATTAGTTTAATTCCCTGCTTCCCAACCGAGGAAAGAATCAGACCAGTTTCACTAGCACACAGCGAAGGACAGGACTGGATAGCAGACACCTGCTGTGCGTCAGCATCGGGCTGGAGCTTGCTACGGTCTGTCTCAAACGCAGCAAAGAAGGATCCATCCGAGGATCAGTTTCATTATCGCCTACCTGCCGGTCTTTTTAATTTCATTTAATTGGAAAAGCTATGGGATGCAGCAAGGACATCAAGCTGTCTTTCTGCTGACTTCAGAATACAGCATTCCCATATTTCACTTTCAATCCATTTCAAGTAAGCTATCTGAAATCCAGCTCCTTTAAATTCAAAATTCAACTTGTTCAACGCAGCTGACTTGCTGCCTGAACCTACAAGTGTAAGATTAGAGCAATGGCTCGACTTTAGAGTGAGTCTACCTTTAAAATGAAATGCTGTTTGGCACTCATTGGAGCAATAAAACAAGACTCCATTCCCTGAGTCTAACAGTTAATGAATTTTGAAGAGGCACAGGGAACTGAGAACGCACAAAGGAAGAAATGAGAACCTGGATCAGGTTAGATGACTTGGACAAAATACTGGAACATCTTTCACTCTTTCTATCTTGAAGAAATTTTGGTACTGGATGAACAAGCCTACAATTAAGTAAGAGCGTGTGGATTTTCTCAGTAGAGCTAAGTAGAAAATGACAAAAACTAAGCAGCCAAAGAGAGAAAGATGAAATACATATAAGAACAGAGAAGAATAATGATGGAACTTAAAGGAATTATTTGCAAAAACACAACTCAATTTGGAAAAAAATGACTTCATATTTCAGGTTTCATTCACTTTTTTGTAATTGAATATTATTCATTTACCTTTCCATGTTCCTTCCTCATGTGAGAGATGTAAACGTCTCTCTGAGTGAAGAGCCTATCACACTCCCAACAAGTCCAGCCAGGATTAGCAACTTTTTTAGGCTCTGCTTTCTTTATGGGAGAAGGAGATTTCTTCTCCAACTTTTCTGTTCCGTTCACAGATTTTGTGTCCTCTTTGTTGTGACTGGCTGAGTTCTGAGTTGTTGGTTTAGTACTGAGAGGCAGATTTATCCCCAGGTTTGGTGGCCCCTCAACACTTTTCAAAGTTCCATGCATAGACTACAATAAAAGAGAAAAAAAAAAGTACAAAACTATCATAGACATATACAGTTGTATTGACAAAATGCAAAGACCCTCTGAAACAAGTCATTTACTTCTTATCAGATCATATTCCTAACTTAAAGAAACATGATTAAGTAAAGGCAAGGCCCAGGATAAAGAGAAACTAGCCAACAACACTAACAGACACCATCCATAGCTAAAGAGAAGTTTTCTTCAGTGGCTAGATTTTTTCACAAAAAAGAAAGAGACTTTGTAGGTTAAGTTTAAATTGTTGTTTAATAGGGAGGAAAAAAGTGCTCAAGAAGTACTTTATGTTAAGTTTAATTTCTCGTTTTACTTACCTAATGTATTAGTTGAGCATCCCCATTTCAAACTACGTGACTAGAGATTTCCAAGAAGGAAAGGTTTTTACTGACAAATTTTAACTTGGCACATTGGTAAATAAGACAAGAAAAGGCAACTCTGGAAAGATCAGGCAACAATATTGTTTAGGATATATTAATATTTTATGTTGTGGCTGAGTTAAGCCCTGTCTTACTCCATGCTCAGGTTATGAGCACCCTAACTTAGGGCTACATTGCTAACAGTCCTTAGAAGCAAAGGTGTGCAGGGCTGACGGGGTCCCCAAGACCAGGGGACAGCTAAGAGGTGTCTAACAAGCTGTTCTCAAGCAGCCTGCAGCTCTTAGGTAGTGACCCTGCCTCACTGATTTATTTCTAAACTTGAAGTAAACAACCAGTAAGAAGGGAAGAACTCTTCCACCTCCTCCTTCCCCAATTTCTGGAGCCAGTGTCATATGCTGGCTAAGCCTACCAAGAAGACGACTAGTTCGGGAAGACCTGGGCTTCAGCTGTGTGTCTGAGTTTCATATATGAACATGGACACAACAGGAATGAGTCAGCAGGGTTCTGGGCCAACAATGACTGCAGCCCAGACTTAACGTACTGTTGAACGTGGATCCACTACCAAGGTCTCTTTCACATCTAAAGATTTGCCCTTTACAATGACAGTGTTCTAATCATCTCATCTACTGACCTTTATTATAACTCTCCTGGATGATGTGTCTAGCCATCCCAAATATAATTATTTTTCCTACAGGTAATCTCAGAAACAAAAAAACATTCAATACATTCTTGTTTCTAAGAATATAAGAATACAAATCTGATACTCCAGTATAATACTTCAGTATGAAGTTCTTTTGTAAATCCTGTAGCTTTTGGGTCTACCTGCTGGCTCTACAGCAAATATCAACCTGATTGTAGAACATGTTCTTCTATTTAACAACTTTTAAAAGAAAAGCCAGTAATTTAAAAACCTAAAATGTTATTAAAAAGCAAAGCACACAGGACCAACTTACTGGCTCTAAGAACAAACTGAAGTTGTGTAGTAAAGGAGGAGGTTGCCTTTAGTATCCCATTGCACCAGGACAAGAAGAAAGAAGCACGGGGTAGGGGGGAAGGAGTTTCCTATACTTTCAGGCAACTGAAGATTGACCTGGAGATTCCATCCCAGCTTAACTTGCCAGCATGTAAAATGTTAGTGCTCAACTTTCTAAATGTCTTTTAAATACAATACTTGAAATTTAATTTCTTATTTGAAAATAAACAAAAAGCATTAAAGCATAACATGGAGTCACAGGGATCACAGCACATACCACCAGCAGAACTGGGAGTGTTACACCTCCAGTCCAGATCTCCACCACCTGCTGTCACTGGCTGTTAGAAATTTTCTTGTAGCTAGCTGTTACAGGAAAATGAGACATACATTTTGCCAACAAGAAACATTCACATCTGCAGGAATTATTCTAGGTTATTTTTTGTAGCTTTAAATAACCTCCTTCTGAGCTTCTCTCTATCCCTTTCTGTTCTATTTTCATGCAGGTCTTCTCTGCCTTGATGGTTTATGTCTAGCCATACCAAACAATTACTTTTTGTGCAGCTGGGCTGAGCTCTGCCCTTGTCTGGCACTTGTCCTCTCCCCGAGTCCTTTTCTGATTTTATCTATACCCTGTTACTGTTTTTTTCATTCCCCCTTAACTGAAGCCCAATTTATACTCTTCTGCTGCTGTCCCTACTACTATACACACATCCTAAATGTAAAAGCACTACCAATTATGAATAAAAGCAGTAATACTGTTACTGCACATGTATGTTCTAATCCTCTAATTTTATTCTCAAAAATGTCTCAATCATTTATAGTGAAACATGCTAAAAAAACACTGGTTGAAAGTACAAATACTGGCATGGAACACTGAAGCCAAAAGAGTTAAATAGTGCCCAAATCGTAAGTAACTGAGAATGACTTTATAATGAGAGATGCTGAGCAACCCTGATTTATGTAAGAATAGCTTCTGGCCCTAACTACAGTCAGATCATGCTCCTAAAACAGTTGTTTTCAGGTCTTAAAGAAATAGTTACGTACAGGTATAACAATACTTTTACAATAATATCTGAGTCAAGAAAAACTAATTACATAAACAAGATATACACTGCAATATATGGAATTTGCCTATTTAGTTAAAAAACAAAGGAACACAAGTAGATCAAAGGATAATAGGACTTTGCATTGCTGCATGAGAGGACCATTTAAGATATCCCGCATAAATGTAAGATGATTCTTACAGTAAACATGAACTAGTTCAGAAACAAAGAAAATATCCAGTCCTTCTATTTCTGAATGTCTTGGGTCAGCCCTTCCTTATCTCTTCCTCAAGTTTAAGATTGGCTTTAAGATCAACTGTTTTTTCAAGACTTGTGATCTTGTTTTCAACACAACTTCAGAGATTTCTGAGGTTACAAGTGCCATACTTGAGACTGAAATGCAAAATGCTAGTTTTAGCAGACAAGAAAGATGTCTGGTTTTCCACTATTCTATATACAAATTTTACTAAGTCTTATGTGTCACTGCAAGAGAAACCCACTGAATTAAGTGCTACCATTCTGGACTGCAATACTTTGCAATGGTGTAAATAAGTTCAACTGTTACCAGGCACCAGATCATGTTAATAAGGCATAAGAAATTTCAGCACTGCTAATGGATTTGGTATATATAAAACAAGGTAACGCAGCATATTTAAAATACACAGCTAACATATTACATTCAGGGGACTTCTGATTCTTAACAACATGATTTGCAAGGATGACAGTAAATCTTCTCCAGTTGTAAGGGTATTTATGAGAAAATCGACTTCAAGTTTCTTTCAAAGCATGTATGTGTTCATGTTCGTATGTAAACACACACACAAATGACCTCTATATCTATTCAGGAAACATACTGGTTCCTACCGGTGAGTTCTGAACATCAAAGGTTTGTGGCATTCTCAACTCCTAACAATTGGAATAATACTTAGAATACTGTAAACAAGGCTCAATACTTATTAGGATTGGATTAACTTACTTCACTACACCCATTATTATTTTGATGAAATGACCTATTGAATGCAACGCACCGAGATATTCCTAGTATACCAAAATCAACATTAATACAGAAAAACTGAGTTAGTGATTCCTTCACAGATACACTGAAGATGATACAAAATATAACATTTTAACATTTGAGAACATTATTCAGAGATTATTCTTTTGGAATTACTAACATCTCCCTCCTTCAGCAGTCTTCTTGTTATTCTGTGCCTTTTTACAGTATTTTCTCACAGCATATATTGCATGACAAATGGTATCTACGAACGAAACAAAGGAAGATGCCTACACACCTTGATATGATCCATCATAAGCTGTTTCTGTGCATATAGAAGAGAACAGTCTGGACACTTGAAAACAGACACCTTCTGGTTTTCAATGTGCTGATCAAAGTGGCGATAGAGCAAAGGTTGTAGAGTAAACACAGTGTCACACATAGAGCATTTATATATTATTCTAAAAACAGAAGTACAATAAACAATGTCAGTCATGTTGATGATCTATTTGCAAAAATCATGTTAACTTTTTTCCTCAGCAGAGATAAGATCTGACATGCTTAAGCAATCATTTCACACTGCCCAAAAAAAGTTAAAATTAAACTAATTCAAAACATCCTCCAATTTCAAAATAGGGAGCAGCAGAAAAATAGAAAAAAAATAATTAAAAAGCACAAACAAGAAGCCAGAAAACAACAGCATATGCCAGTTAGTTACATATATAACACCAACATCTGCTTAGGATACTCTGAAAGTTAAATGACTTCAGTTTCTGAACTCATATTACAACTAAAGGACACTATGCTTGTTTCAGGTTGTAAAGGCAGTATGTTTCAAGGGAGTGATTGATTTGATCATAACTGGTAATATACTTCAAGATAAATTTATTTTTGGCAATGTATGTGGCTTTGAACCTCCTGAATGCCAAGCCTAGACTCTGTTAATGCTCTGAAGCTGAAACTTCACAGGACGGTATTTCCCTGTTTTGCAATTACATGCCTTTAAGAATCTGTCTATCGAAACAATGTAGAGACACCACCAAAACCACAACTTCCTCTCTCAGAGCATATGCGACACTTGAAATTAGCTACCTAAATCTCCCGTTTTGATAGGCAATATTCTAATCAAAATTGTTACAAAAGCTATCTATGTTTTAGTAGCTGTGTAACTGGTGAAGCAATGCATCTATTAATATAATTCCAAAACTGCTTTAAGAAATAGATATACTCATTAACAAAGAACTGGGTAAGTACTGGACACTACAAGCATAGTCCCTGAAAATGAACATGATAGCCAAAATTCTGTATCACAAAATCCAAAGAAAGCTATTCAACAATCTGAAAATAGTTGTATTTTTAGCAGATCCTTGTCAAGTGTCTGTCCAACAGACAAAAAGCATACGGAAATGAGAAGCATAATCCTCTGATCTAAATGCTGCAACAACTACTACATGACAATAGTTTGAAGCTTGTTTCATGTTGATGATGATTTTATAACGAAAAGTATAGTTTAAATTATTTACTTGAGACTTTGCTTGTTGTTTTTGCTTATCTGCATGTTTGATTGCATTAAGAATGATTTCCCTGGCAACTGAAGGTGAGTAACAAGATTAGCCATTCACATTGCAACCTTGTAATGTATCTGCTTATAAATAGTAAGTAATTCTATTCTTTCAGAAACACCACACCTTTTTTTAACTTGGAAAATGAATGAAAGGAAATGACACATGAAAGAAAAGTAACTCCCTATGATGAGAGAGAAATCTAATCCATCAGCCATCAGTAGTGGTAGTACTTCAGAAAAAGTTCTGCTAAAATAAAAGAAACCCAACAAGAGGTGCTCAGTACAATGACAGGCGCTTCCTCTGCAAAAGCAGTCTTCCTAATCCCATCAATTAGAGGTTGATCTCTGTCCTGAAGAATGACTTTTCATTAAAAAAAAAAAATACTGCTTCCTAGAATGCTGAATTTTCTCATTATGCACATAAATGTTCCGAGCCCTTTCTATATCCCTTTAAGCAATTATCATCAATGTACATTGTTCAAGAGCTCTAAAGACCACTCTGCACTGTGTTTTGAGATGACATGAACAGGGACATTGCTTCAATGTCCAAGCCATTCAATGAGTCAAAATATTTGAAATAATGAAAAATAGTACACTTAGTCATATTAACTGTGAAAAATACTATTTTTTGTGGTATATCAAGTGGTCCCAGTTTCTTACACATGCTAAGATAAATTTATTTATTCACACAGCATCCTCTGACGACCTACATACTATCGTACTGCTTTCTGTGGTGAACCCTCTGCATGGGACGACATACTCCGCACAGGCGCAGAACATACACCTGCTAGCTTCACTTAGCGAGCACGGAGTACTTAGAAAGGGGAGCCCCCTCCCCATCCTCTGACCCCCCCACATTACTGTCCATAAAAGCTTCTTAAACATTATTCAAAACAAGTATTTTAGTTTGTCGCATTATTACTGATCTATACCCCTTCAGAATCCTAACTTCCTGGGTAAGTCCCGTATGAAAGGTGTTAAAGAGCTTGCCAAAACCAGGAAATGCTGCTTGATAATAATTGTTAAGAAAGAAACCCCAGGTTCCTAAAACGCAGTTTCGCCTCATGTACCTCACATCAATATAAACCCACGTATCTTACTAATAGTTTTAACTGAGATCGTAAGAGACAACTTCTGGGGAAAAAAGTCAATGGATCACCACCCCAGCGGGTGAGCTGAATTGAGCACAGGCAGAAACAGAGAGAACGTGAGCCTCCTCCAGGCACAGTGCTGTGACAGGCACGCTCTGAGGGATGCACTGTTTAAGCTCTAAGGGTAGAAAGAGCCAAAGGATTCACTATGCAAGGGATCATTTCCCTTGGCCACAGCACACAGAGCTACGGAGCATCTAAGCACGCTCCACCGTCTTGGTCCCATCTCAGCAGAGCAGCTAGAGATAATTTAAAGCAGTGATTTTACTGTCAGCCCTCTTCACTCCGTCCAAGAAAAAAACCAGTTTCCTCAGAAAAGTACTTGCTGCAGTTCTGTAGTCAATCTGCTTGTAATGTCACAAGCTAGAGAGCTGGAACTAACCACGCACGTTCCCTAATCCTGGGGCACCAAATAGTTTTCTTCTGTCCCTTACGTCCTGTCTCTTATAAAACTCTCTTACATCTCCATCAGCAACTTTGTCCAAAAGTCAGGAAGTGTCAAGCCCGATTACTAACTAAGCAGGCAAACAAGCCGAGGCACAAGACTATCACAGCCTTGTCCCTGGCAGGGTGATTTTCACCCTTCTGGTTCATTGCTCACATACCACTGCTAACATCCAGAATCCCAGCATTTTGGTGCCTGTTGCCGAGCAGTTGATCCCATGGCTAAGTGCTGAAGAGAGACGAGTAAAGTTACATTGTTCCAGGTTAGCAAGATGTAAGTAAAGACTGGCAGAATTAAAAATAATTCTCTGATTATTTCATGATGCATATTTCTATTAGAACCATACGCTGCAAACAAAATTAGACAGAAGAAATTAGAAAACCTGCTTAATCATCTGTGGTAAAACTAGACAGTGATCTCACCTGGAATGATTTCAAGTCTGCAGTACATAAATTTATCATTGCAGGGTTATATAATTTAATCAAATAAACTATGATCTACTATATGCTTCAGATTCTTATTGCATGTAAAGTAAGGAACAGAAGACTACAGAATCGCTGAGGTTGGAAGGGAGCTCTTGAGGTCATTTAGTCTAACTGCTGTTCAAGCAGGGTCAGCCACAGCAGGCTGCCCAGGACCATGTCTAGCTGGGTTTTGAATGTCTCCACAGACTGAGGCTCCACAGCCTCTGGGCAACCTGTTCCAGTGTTTGACCACCCTCACAGTAAAAAAGTGACTTCTTGTGTTCAGGTAGAAATTTGTGTTTCAGTTTGTGCCCACTGCCTCTTGTCCTGTCTCTGGGCACCACGGAGAAGGGTCTGGCTCCCTCTTCTTCGTGCCTTCCCGTATGGTATTTATACACACTGATAAGGTTCTCCTGAGCCTTCTCCTCTCCAGGATGAACAGTCCCAACTCCCTCAGCCTCTCCTCACATGAGAGATGCTCCAGTCCCTTCGTCATCTCAATGTCCCTTTGCTGGACTTGCTCCAGTATGTCCATGTCTCTCGCACTGGGGACCCAGCTCCGGGTCCAGTACTGCAGCCCTGCCCCAGCAGCACCGAGCAGAGGAGAAGGATCACCTCCCTTGACCTGCTGGCAATGCTCTTCCCAAGCCCTTAATGACCACGTGCCTGGGTAATGCAGCACTCACGAGCACTGACAGGAGAAAGGGAACCTGCTACAAGAAAATCTGACATCTTTCTGAATTTATCACATAGAAAAATTATATCGCTCTAAAAACACTAATTGCTGAATATATGTATTTTCTATGTAAGCTAAAAGACTTTACTCTGTTTTCACAGAGGCACAAGAACTATCTGGTAGAGACCCAAATTTCAGACAGGTCTCGAGAAAAAAATGCACTTGGTTAAATTCATACCAACATATCTAATACTATGAGTTGTCACTATACGCACTTCAAGTATTTCAAAAGCATGATTTTCAATCCTAAACACATGCAACAGAGTATGCTGGTTTGTTTTATAATTGAAGTAGTCAGTATTTAACATATAACAGCTTAAAACTGTGTCCAAAGCTTAAAGGGAGTTATGCTTAGTCAGGACATAATTTACAACCACCTCAACTCAACAAGACGCGTGCGTAAGGCAGGCAGTTCAACTGCAATCACACTGCCAGGGCGGTTACTCAGGAACTGCTCCTGCCCCACAGTACACACCAAAATAGGCACGGTACCGCACATCTTCACTTTTCAAAAATCGGGTTAACAAATTCACATATTATCTTAGAATAAATACAGATGTTATCCCACAGGAAAATACTTTCATATCACATAAAAAATGTTTAGCGTTTTGAAAGCTTCTGCACCAGAGTGTTGTATTTCTCCTTCCCGTAATTTTTTTCTCTAAAAAAATGGTACTTGTGGGATAATATACTTTGTACCAATATATCAGTATATATCCATAATCTGGCTTGATAAACAAGAATTTCTCCAATACCCAAAAAGAGATCAGCCATGAAAAATACCTTAGTGCCGTTCCTATGAAGTTTCACTGTTTACTGAAAAAAGAAAATCACATATAAGCTTTGGTTTCCCATAAAAACCATGTAGCATCTTAGGTATGCTACAGGAGAGAGCTTCGCAAAGTTGAAAGACAAGACAGCCATCCATTTCCCTATATTAAAATAATCTAATTTCATCCCACTGAGAATCACTGCACATAAACTTCATTTTTCATACACCAAATAGTCTACTGTATCTGTTCTGAAACAACCATTTGCAATGTAACTGTAAATCACAGTTCTAGTAAAGGCCAGAGGCACACTGTGTACCCAGTGAGCCCAATTCCTGTAAACAAAGAAGTGAGAACCAGTGAAGAGTCCCTCAGGACTGGCCTGGCCTCAGCCCACTTGCAGGACACCCAGCCACCCTGGCGTGCCGACACACCGGCCCTGCTTTCGGCTGCACCCCCAGAGGCGACGCCCAGAGGCACACCCAGAAGCCAGGCTCCACGGCCGTGCAGAGTTCAACATCTGCCTGCCGGGTGAGGTTTGAAACCCACATTCAAGGGTCAGACACCTTTTATACACTCAATGAAAACTCAAAAGCTTCACATTTCCAAACACAGACGGCTACTGTATCCTTCTTCTCATTTCTTTTAAAATTTTTACTTCAGAAGAACAAAAATTTAACTGAGCTTATGTAGTCATGTTGTATGACTATATGACATTCCTTCTTTTCAATAATGAGTTTGTTAAGCTTTCAAAATGTACGCCAGCCATATGCAATGTAGATGCTAGGTAATACGATAGAGAGAAATGAGCAGCAGCAGATTGGTCAAATGTGAATGTATTTCCTCAAATACAACTTGAGAGTAGTAGAGAGTGTCAGCTCTACTCAGCGCTGGTCAGGCCACACCTGGACCACTGTGTCCAGTTCTGGTCCCCACAACTCAAGACAGACACGGACAGACTGGAGAGGGTCCAAAGGAGGGCCACGAAGATGATCAAAGGGCTGGAGAACCTGCCCTATGAGGAAAGACTGAAGGAGTTAGACCTTTTCTCCCTGGAGAAGAGAAGGCCCAGGAAGGACCTCATCACAGTATTCCAGTACTTAAAGGGTGGCTACAAAGAGGACAGAGGCTCTTTCTTCACAAGGAGCCACATGGAGAAGACAAGGGACAATGGGTACAAGTTGCACTGGGAGAGGTTTCATCTTGACAGAAGGCAGACATTTTTTACAGTGAGAACTATCATTGCTGTAACAACCTCCCTGGGACATGATAGAGTGCCCATCACTGGAGGTTTTTAAGATGCGATTGGACAGAGTACTAGATAATCTCTTCTAGGCTCCCATTCCCACAAAAGGTTGGACCAGATCATCTTTCAAGGTCCCTTCCCA